AAGTAGTAATTTAATTAATAAGAACCTGGAAAGTAGTACTGATATTGAAGAGTAGTCCTCCACAATGTCGGCAGGATTCTACTTTGGCCAATTGGCCAAATAAAATTGCAGAAAGAAAAATTCAAAGCTCTGAACAAAAAGGGGAAAAGGAAAAGAAATAAAAGTAACGATGACTTCAATAGAACTTTGGCAGTCCTTTGGGATGAAGAATCCACCCCTTTTTCTCTGTGAATCTCTTGTCTATTTATAGGAGATATTTCATTCTTCAACTTCCAGAGATCATAGGTGAGTTATGGAGGGAGTGGGAGTAACTTCCAGTAGTGGGCAGTGAGTGGAGAAAGTGTAGGAAGAAATTAAGTTAAGATTGATCTTGACTTCAGATTCTGCGTTTTTGTCTGCATGACGGTCGTCATGATATGTGACGGTCGTCACCCGTGTGACGGTCGTCAGGACTGTGTGACGGTCGTCATAGCAGCAAAATCCGTATCTGCTGTTTTTCATCTGTTTTCCTTCCATTTCTTCTTCTTTTCTTTCTTTAGTCCAAATTCTCCCCAATCTACTAAACGGAGTGAATTAATCATATAATAGAACATAAATCAAGATAAATTAATAAAAGTCACAAATAAATGCATGTAAATCAAGCCAAATAAACGATATGATTTCGCGTTATCAAACGTTGAGCTCCTCGAGGATGTAGAAGTCTTCGAGCCGCGAGATGCTCGTGGCGACCTGAATACTGGTTTCTTTCAAGGAAGGCAACTCCTCCTCGACCTTCTTTGATTCCTGGTCGTTTTTCCTAGGAGCATCCTTCTTTTTAGCGAACTGTTTCAAGTGCCCGTCCCTGATTAAGATCTCGATCGCATGCTTTAGAAGGATGCAATCGTCGGTCATATGGTTGTGGATCTCATGGAACTGGTAATACTTTGTCTTATCTGTGTTCGGCTTGGCCAATATCTGTTTTGGAAAGCGGACCCCTGCTTGGCGGAACTCTGAGTTTGCACACTCAAAGAGAATCTTCTCACGAGAGACTGTTAGTGGAGTGTAGTCGTGGAACCGGCCAGATGACCCTTTATGATCCCGGGATTCCCGGGGGCGATCATCACGTCTTTTTTCGGCTCTCCGACGAGATGTCGAGGCTTCATCGTGCTTTGAGGACTTGACATTCTCCTGGTGCCTAGAGTCCCAGGCGGTGTTGGCTACTTCCCTCTCTTTATACTGGATGTATGTCTGCGCCTTGAGGAGGAGGGCATCCAGAGTTGCGGGGATCTCGATGCCAACAGCCTTGGTAAATTTGGAGCGGGGATGGAGCCCGCGTTCGAGCAAGTATTTCTTCATATCGTCGGTCGTGGCGACCTGGACGACTTCTTTGTTGAACCTTTCGATAGAAGCTCGAAAAGGTTCGTATTTCCCTTGAATGACTGCTTCAAGGGAGGCTTTTGTCTTTGGGTGGCGACGGGAGGCAGTGAAATGCCTGGAGAACATCCTCATCAGTTGTCTCCAAGAAGTGATGAACTCGAAGGGGAGACTTTTATACCATGACATATCTCCCTTTCTCAGCGTGGTTGGAAACAATATGCATTTGACAGCGCCTCTGACACCGCGATAACGAGCAGAGCATCGATATATTCGATATGCTTATCTAGGTCAGTAGTGCCACTGTTTGTACACAAGGGGGGGGGTTTATCCAGCCTTTTGGGTAGGCGTATGGCCATAATATCTTGGGACAACGGGTCGGGAGGCTCGTCGTCGCTGCTGCTGCTAGACCTCAAACGGGAGTGGGTACTTCATCCAAGGAGAGGACTGCGATCTCTGCGGGGAGATGGACTTTGTGCTTAGCCTTTGGATCTGGGTGGAGGCGAACGATAACGCTCTGTCTGGAGATCCCTTCTGGTCCTTTTAGCCCCTAAAGAGTGTTGGCTCCAGGGAGAGGTGTGGTCACGCTTTCTCACGGACAGAGAGTCTAGTTCTACTTGCGCCTGACGCTCTCTTCCTCGTCTGGGAGAAAGACCCCGAGATCTTCAGTGTTCTTTCCTTGATGGAGGTGATCTTGGTCGGCGAGACTCTTCTAAGGCTCCAATTCTTGCGTTCTGTTGGAGGATCAGAAGATTTGTTTTATTGAGGACCTCGAGTTGACGTTGGGCGGAACTGGAACGGTCAACGTGATAGGGGAAAGGAGACGCAGTGGCTCCATCTCTCTGCTGATGGACTTCACTCCCAAGAAAGGGGGTTTCTCCGTCAGCGTCTGTCTTGCTAACGGGGAGGATGGTGTTACGAGCATTGTGGACATTGTCATGTCTGACCATGATCGGAATCTTAAGAGAACTGCTTTGGTCTTGAATTTACGGGAAAAGAAAGACGGGGAGAACAAAGTTTCCCACAAACGGCGCCACTGATCTTGACGGCTGATCAGAACCTGAAGTGGGCCAAAGACTTTGTCGGTGATGCTGGGTTGCAAGGATGAGGATGGGTTGTACTTGCAAGGCACTCTGATTCTAAAGTAAGAATCAGGCGAAGAGAAGGAAAGTACAAAAAGAGTGCGTCTTAGGGTGATTTGGAATGATTTAGAATATCTGACCTCCTCAAGTGAGAGGGTTTTTATAATGCCCTCAACGCTTGGCCATTGGTCCCTATTTTCGGGGCGAGATATTCGCTCCCAAAGAATAGGTAACTGTCAAAAACTAGTCGTTGGGACGAACAGATGTGCTCGAAACTAGTCGTTGCCCCGGGCACAGGCGTTGTGACTAATTTTGGATGGTGAAACTGTGCGTGACGGGCAAGAATATGAAGAGGGGTGGCTGATTCTGGGGGTCCGCTGGCCAGCCTTCCTCGACAAAAGGGCAGAGGAGGGAAAACTTCAGTTTGCCCTTAGCTTGCAGGGCTAAGACTATTCGATTGTTCTGGGTGCAGAAGTGGATTGGGTCATGCCTAGCCATTGGGTCAGTCCGGAACAATTGTAATATAAATCAAATCTCTCAGACTGTGACACTCATCTAGGTATATCTTACCCGTTCTTTTGTTATGCTCGTTCTTGCAATTGTATGGCACCATACGAGCATGACACTCACTCAGTCTTCCAAGTCGGCTTTTAAAAAATAAAAAGATATGGATATGGGTTTGGTTCACCTTGATTTGGAAGAAGAGATTGAAACGAGTTTAGTAGAGATGAAACGAAGACGTGGTCGCCTTGTTTGAAGTCTGCGTGCAATGTTCTATAAAATTTAAGGAAGAAAGTGGGAGAATACGATAATTAAAGTTAGAATAAAACATGATTTGGAGAAGATGGTATTTAAAGATATTTTTTATAAATAATTCAAAGTAAAACAAATATTTTTAAGAATTTAATTTTATACACTTACACTGTCAGTAAATTATAGTCGCTAAATTTTGTAAAAGTTTGATTTTTTTAAATCACGTAAAGTATTACTCATAAATGGTTGTAATGTTCTGATTTTGTAAAATATTTTACATTGATAATACATACCAATTATTCTCTATTTTTAATATTTAGATTTCATAATTATAAAATATTTTAATCTAACTAAATCCATCGTGGCTATCTGTTTATCTTTTAAAATGTCAAAAATATGTCCGTTATTCTTACACATCATCTTCTCTTAGAAGAAATTAATAAAAAAGACTAAAATCGTGGACGGAGAGCTCAAAAAAAATTGAGAAATTAAAATTAAATTATAAGGATATTTAGTGGAACCTAACATATTTAAGGAAATGAGTTTGATCAATGAATTATATATATATATATATATATATATATATATATATATATATATATATATATATATATATATATATATATATATATATATATATATATATATATATATATATATATATATATAATAATTTGTTGCAGTTACCAAAGTTATACTGTTGCGAAGTGAGTGAAACCTAGTCCCAATATTTAACCGATTAATAATCTGTTTTCTTTAATTTAAGAGGCATGCTTTAAATTAGTGATACATATTACTGTATTACTATGTTATAAAAAATGTAAAACCAAATAAGGAGTTACATTAGAGCACCTCCAATGGTGCAATCCATTTTTGGGTTTTTTGTAGGACCCACTCTTTTAAAGCAACTCATTCAATTTTTACTCCAATGGTGCAACTTCAAAGAACCTATATTGGGTCCCACCACTTTATTTAAAATATATTATTTATATTAAATTTATTTTATTTAAAATTATAATTTAAATATTTAAATTTTAATTAATATAAATACAAATTAAACATAAAATTAAAATTAAACATAAAATTAAAAATAATAATTAAAATTAAATTTAAATACATGTCACATAATTAAAAACAATAAAAATAAATAACATCACATAATTAAAAACAATAAAAATAAATAACATCACATTAACAAATGTAATTTGAAATAAAAAGATGAAAATTTGGCCTAAACAAATGTAATTTGAAATAAAAAGATGAAAATTTGAAATAAAATGATAATGAGAAGAAATTATTGGAAAAAAATTAAATATTTATGAATAAAATGATGAAATTGTGAGAGAGAAATTTGAAATTAAAGAGCAAATAAAAAGGAGAGAAAATAGGAATAAAAAGGAGAGAAAATAGGAATGATATAAATTTTTTCCAACAAACCTATATTTATAATAAATAAAAAAGTTAAAAAAATAAAATAAAACTAAATGATTATTTTAATAATAAACCAAATGAAGAACCGTTGTTTATGTTTGTAACGTTCTACAGCTGGAATAACATTTTGTTGACATTTTCAATGCCAAGCTGGCAAACCAATTTGAAAAATCACCGTTGGAGTTGGTCTTAGAAGCATGAATTGAATAAACAGATAGTGAGAAATAAAGCTAATAAAAGAGGTAGAAATAAGAAGAGATAATACGTGTCAAAAAAAATGATTGATTCATCATGTATACTAACAAAAGATAAGAAAAAAAAATCCTAGAACCGTGAATAATCTTACCTCTGAAATTATTTCTTGTCAAAAATTTACATTGATCATAATGAATGGCCGAAAGTCTCAACCAAATCGCGCTCCTTGGGCTGTACCACACACTCAGCAAACATGTCTTTGAGCTTTTCATGCTGTTTCATTTGATCAAGAACTCTATCTTCAAACTCCACTGCACAGCTCTTGAACTCATCGTTATCAGTATTTTTAGTTGAAAAAACAAGTTCAGATAACCGATCCTTTTCCGCCTGCTTGCAATATTTTAGGTATTCCGTAGTCCCTTGTGTGAGCAGATGGTAAGTGTATACAACCTTCTTCTGTCCAATCCTATATGCTCTGCTTATAGCCTGTCTCTCGACAGACGGATTCCATACAACATCAAGTAGCACCACCCTTGAAGCTCCAACTAAGCTAATTCCCTCGGAGCAAGCTTTTGTCGATGCAAGGAGAATCTTTGCTTGGCAATTTTCACCATTGAAGCTATGGATTAAGGATTGTTTGTCCTTTAGATCAACCTTTCCGTCCATGTACAGCATTTCCTTCCCTTCGCTCCAATTAAAAGCCGTGTTTAATTGGTCTTTTATTAAGCTTAAAGGACGGATGAATTGGCTGAACACAAGAACTTTCTCATTAACAGCATCACAAAGTCTCACAAACTCCACCAAAAACTTTGTTTTCACCCCTCCGTAGGGGTTCAACCTAAGCTTTTCTAACCGGTTCTTGTCAATAACAGATTCCTCTTCTTCCAAAAGACCGCATTCCAGCAAAAGAGATGGATGGACGGATGCCATTGTCAGTTTATGCTCATAGATCAACCTGTTTTGACAACTTTGAATGCTCTCAAGAATTTGTTTCTGCAAAAGGTCCGGCTTCAAAGCCAGCACACAATCTCTTAGTCCAGGAAGCTTCTTTTCAAGGATCGCGCCTTTGTGAACATGAACAAAGGGATCCATTAGAAACTTCAATTGCATGATCTTATTGTCACAAGGATTTTCTCTTCTGTTGCCATAAATCGGTTCCCAGCTCCATTCTTTCAACGTTTTTTTAGGTTCCTGCTTCTGGCAAAACTTCTTCAGCTCACACGGTATGGTGTTAGGAAAAGAAGGCTTCACTAAGCTCAAAGTGTTGTAAAGTTCATAGAAATTGTTCTGGAAAGGAGTTCCGGAAAGTATAATTCGCTTCTTTGTTTGAATCTTCGACAATACCTTCCAAATACGACTTCTTTGATTTCTTGGTGTGTGTCCTTCATCTAGCACCAACAAACCAGGAATTTCACGTAGAACCTTTCCGATATCACTGTTTTCTTTTGTCTTCTTCACACTTGCATATTTTTTCTTTTCCTTATCTTCGGACTCTCCTCCTCCTCCGGCTAGCTTCTCGTATAAATTGTAACTGATTCCCATAATGCTCTTTTCTTTGAACCATGAAATCAGTTTCGCCTTTCGTGTTGCATCTTTACTATGAGGTGAATTATACCAATTATCCGCATTAACAGCAACTTTATACTCTTTATCAGATAATTCAAGATTGTTAAAATTGTGAAATGGAACTCCAATGTCCCATTTTTTGAACTCATCTTCCCAAGTAAGTAACAAACTCGCAGGAGCAACAATAACAGGATGACACTCCGGGAAAAGTTTCAAATAAGCCATGAGAAACACTATGGTCAACCTTGTCTTTCCAGTTCCGGGAGCATGCGAAATAATACAGCCACCCTCTCTGTGAGGATCGGCGTACTTCAACTCTCGAAGATTGATGTTTCCTGCCAAGTTTTTCCAAATGAACTCAAATCCTTCTTGTTGGTGAGGATATAAAGTGTGTTTCACATCAGGAATCAGGTCCCAAACTGTGCCTTTATCATGAAAGAAATGATTAGCTTCTGAGTCACCACCATCAGAAACATTGAACTGAGATCCATCAAAGCGTGAGATATTTACTGAATTATCAAACGAAGCTCTTTTTCCCGAACCTTCGTTGGGAAATCTATCAACCTGTGTCATGTGCAATACAAGTATGTAAAACGCAGTGCATCTTTTCAACATACCTCAGTGAAAAAACAATCTCTATTGTTCAAATTCCACTATGCCACGATTAAACAACCCTTTGTACTAAATCACATATCAAAGACTAATAACGATTTCTTCAAAAATTTTTAATCAAAATCAAGATGAAAATATTAAGCAAGTTAGTTTATATATAAATCAACATAAAACCATGCTTACCACTGGTGGTGAGACATCTTTGATATCAGTGACAACAAAACCACACAATTTGCAATATACACCAATCTCTTCGTCGAGAAAAGTATTATGTTCACAGAGAGAATATGGACTTGCCATTTTTCCATTTGCCCCTAAATTTCCAATCTGCAGATTGTAACACACTTAAATTAATCACTGACACTGATCTCTCCTTACATTTTTCATTGAGTTTCTTATAGATATCATTTAGACCAAAGTTTAAGCATATAAACAATTTAAACTTAAAATCAAAATCAGCTTATGTACTAATCCTATAATTGACAAATTGATATTAAAATGTCGTTAAAGAGGTGGATTACCATAGATTCAGCTTCTTCTTCTCTAAGGGATGCATTCATTTCATCCCATAACAGTTCCTCCTCCTCCTCCTCTTTGGTCTTTTGCAATTTTTTCACCTTCTTAAGGCTCCATATCAATGGATGCGTCTCAACAGAAACCAGTGGTGGCTGCTGATCAACGACATCACCCTTCACCTCCATCACAATGGAATCATCATTCTTCACTGTAGTCTTGTTTCCCCAGTAGAATTCTGCAAGGCGTTTAGTCAAGCGCAATTCCTTTGGCAGAAAAAGTGTGTTTTTATCCCTTTGATTCATCAAACCATTGTTATCCATGGATTCTTTCTTCTCACCATTACAGATGTTAGCTCTACCTTCATGATCCCTTTCTTTGCTCTCCATGATTGTGTGTTTATCTGAATCCCCTAGCTTTTCTTGTTTCGTTTGAAATAAAGAAACTCTTTCAACACCTAAACCTCGGACACATTGCTCTTTTCCTTCATCATAATCATCAACTGTCACACTTTCATTAACATCATCATCATCATCATCAAGAGAGACATTTTCCACACTTTTTGCTTTTGTTGTCTCTGAGAAAGCTTCATTCAGGTTTGAAGAACAACAAGCTTTCATAGGATCAAAATAACCCTTCTTCTCTAAAGCACTAGAGGTTGTTACACTACCGTAATCTGCATTCTCCGATTCTTCATTGTGTACAGAAGAAGGACTATTCTCAATCTCTACCTCCTCAACTCCACTTTTTCCACCTTTCACTCCACTTTTTTCATCTTTCACCTTTCTCACCAGCTCCTCCACCACACTGTAGTACTTTCTCCAAACATTTTTCTTCTCTTCTTTCGCCTCCTCCTCCTCCTCCTCTTCATCGTCGTCATCATCATCATCATCATCATTTTCATAAGAAGAAGAATCATTAACTTGAAATTCTTCATCACTAGTCTCACTTTCATCTTCATCAGATTCAGATTCATCATCTGAATTTGTAATTGGGTTTTCAGATGTCCAATCACAGTTTTCATCAACAAGGTTTTCAGATGTCCAATCACAATTTTCATCAACAAAGTTTTCATCTTTATCAACAAAGTCATCATGACTTCCTCCAACATTCTCTACGTTTTTTTTAGCATCAAACCCATCAATTCTTCCACTTTCATCACTCCCTACTTTTCTTTTGACATCACCGCCACCCTCAAACATCTTCTCATCATCATCATCATCATCATCATCATCATCAATGCAAATAACCTTAATGTTTTGAGACAAAACAAAAGGCTTTTCTTTTACCCTAGTTTTTTTAGAACAAGAAGCAGAGTCAAAACCTGTTTCATCTTCATAATTCTTTCTACTACGCTTTAATTTAGAAGAAGATGGTCCATCAAGGGAAAGACTATTGAACAACTGAACATTCTTGCTACGAGTTCGACTCGAAACGCCGCCAGCCATTATTACAGACAAAAGAACAGGATCAACAAATAAAATACAGAAAAATCGTTGTGCATTAGGAGAGAAAAAAAAGTGTTATTGAATTGAAAGGAACAAGAATCGCACGTTGGTGTGCAAGACAGAGGTAGAGATATAAGGAGAAGACGGCAAACAAGAATTGGCGCCAAACAAGAAGAGATTTTGGTCAAATATATATACATAGGTCAAGAAGAGACTATTTCTAAAAAAAGATATTAATAGATATATCATCGTAATACATTTAATGATATTTAATATGATTAATAAGCAAGTCTTTAAATATTTGAATATAAATAAATGTAATAATGATATCAAAATATACAATTTCTTTTTATATACAATAGAGTAGGGGTGAGGAAGGGACAAGTCGGGATGAGTTATGACTAACCCTAACTCTGTTCTAAATTTTGATCGGACTATTTTAATGACCCGAACTCGTATCTAAACCTGTAAAAAACCTGATAATATATAAGATAGTTTAGACCGGGTTAATGTAAGACGATATCGAGTTGACCCGAAACATATGGAGAGAAAAATTTAGTGACTTAAAAAGTTTATTATAGTATTTTTTAAAATTCATTTAAATAAGAAATATGAATAAAATCATTAGCATGAATAAAAAACAATGAATATATCTAAAGTCAATTTTTAAAAATAAAAAACATGATGTAATTCTATATATGTCATCACCTTTTTATTTTCTCTAAAACATAGTAAGAAAATGTAAAATAAAAAAACATGATGTAAGAGAACTAGAAAAGTGTGAAAGTTGGAAAGTAGGAAGATGTGTACTTAGTATTTACTTAGTTAGTGCATATATTAAATTATGAGGTGGAAAGTAGAAAAGTCTATTGTTAATTTGGAATAATCTAAATATATTAATAAATTAAATTAATTAAAAGTTCCACATGTGCATTCATTATATTTGGACGGATTGGGTAACCCGAGGGTCAACCCGAACCCGTCTCACTTGATACCGGGTTCATTTTTGGACCGTCATATTTTTCCATTTTTTTACATGAGACGGGAAAAAGACTAACCCGAAGCTATTGGGTTGGGACGGGTATTCGGGTTGGATTGGGTTATGCCCACTCATACAATAGAGGACTGAAAATTCTAAAAATAAATAAATAAATAAGAAATACATTTGTAAAATTTTTAGAGATTTTCTTTTTTCACTCTTTGTATTTCTACTGCATTATCTGAAATTTTAAAAATGTTCTCTAATTTCGATGATATATTTTTGGACGCATCAAAACTTAAGTGAACATTGAAATATTACGGAGATGTATCTCCAAAATATTGTGGAGATTAATATCGCGTCAGACTCTTCTCCTACCTCACTTTTCATTTTCCTTCAAACACAACTCTTCAACTCTTCTCATTCTTAATATTCTTCAACTTCACCAAATCAGATTTCATCAATAGGAGGCACAAGCATCATTCATTTCATCATTCAACAGCATCCATATTGTAAATTTCATGTATATTTTGAGTTTTTGATAAATATTTAAGTTATAATGTAAAGGGTTAAATATGTTTGCGATCTTCCTAAATATCTCAAATTCGTTTTTAGTCCCTCAAAATATTTTTTTCAAAGAATGGTCCTCCTAAAATTTTTCATCCGTACTTTTGGTCCTTAATACTAAAATTGCCGCTAAAATTGTCGCTAATGCAGTCGCTAAGTAATAAACCGTCGCTAAGTAATAAACCGTCGCTAAAATTGTCGTTAATTCAGTCGCTAAGTAATAAATCGTCGCTAATTATGTCGCTAAATTATAAAAACCATTGCTAATTTGCAAAAGGGACCAAATGTGTGGATGAAAAATTATAGGAGGACCATTCTTTGAAGAAAATATTTTGAAGGACTAAAACCGAAAATTGAGATTGTTAGGAGGACCACAAACATATTTAACCCTCGTGTAAACGAGTAGGAATCAATTGTTAGGGGTGGAAATATATAAAAATCATATGTAACATTATTTAGAGTTACTGTATACATTGTTTGTTGGCTCAAATGGATGATAAGATGTTTATTTTTCACAATACAAGTAGCAGAGAACGTCATTGTCGCGACCTTTGAGTTGCATAATATCTCAGAGATACATCTCCGAAATTGTTCAGCGTCTGGGATATTTCGGAGATGCATCTCCGAAAGTATTCAAAGTAAAAAAATTTAAGGTGTTTCTAGAGATGTATTTTCAAAATACTCTACAGTCTGATTTTTTTCGCTTGTTTGTTTGTGTTGTCTGCACTAATGATACGGCGTAATTTACCTTTCAAGTATTATGACTAGAAGAGTCGACATAATGAGACATAGTCGGGTTGCTCAACACGCATCCGTTCGGTGGGAGTAGAGCCAGTAAGTTCTGGAGGTAGCAGATACATCTGGTCAAGCAGAGGCATCGACTTCAGGTACATCCTAGGACTCAGCCTTCACCTCATGCCGCTCCATCTCAGGTCATTCCACATTCATCTCACATCATCCCACCTTCATCTCAGGCCATTCCACCTTCTTCTTTTTCTTCCCGTAAGAGACGGGATTCACCAGCTGGTGCGTCACTTCCACCATCTTCCTGCGGGCGTCAGAATGCACCAGCGCCACCTCCTACTGATCTGGTGCCACCTCCCGTTGATGATCCTGATAATCCAGTGCCACCTCTTAAGGGTGAGGTTGCTGAGGATATCGTGCCAGAGGGATTTGGAGGAGGTCCATATGATATGTCCCTACTTCCTCTATATCCAAACCATAATGGTAGATATATTTGAGACGAAGAGGTAGCATTAGTATGATTTTTTATTTTCTATTTATTTTAATTTAAATTGCTGACATTGATTATTATTGATATTGATTATTTCTGGAAAATTATAGATGCGTGATCCCTAGAAGTTTATGAACCATGAGAGAAAGATTGCTGACTTGCCTTAGTCGGATGAGAAGTTATTTTAGTCGGTTCTGACCTTATCTGGGTTGAGTGACTAATGCATGACTGGTTACACTCTGGTCAACCACGAGATACTTAACGCATTCGTGGAGAGATGGCATTCTGAGACCTCTTCTTTTTATCTCCTGGATATGTTCGAACTGCAATATAGCAGCATGAAGCAAAAGATTTGGAAGAATGCCCTCTAGGTTTTTATCGTCTCCACATGGATGGGTGCGAGGGAAAGAATATCATTCAACAATCTCTATGTTTCTGAGCTTAGGTTTAAATGGTTTGAATGAGTAAAATGTGGAAAGTAAAAGATATTAACAAGTAAATAATGCGTTATTTAGAGAGGAGAGAACTTGTCAAGAATCATATTTCATCTACCCATCAAATACTAAAAAATCTATCAATCAACTGTATGCAACCTAAATCACTCTTCAATATCATCATGTATCGCTTACAATAGAAGTTATGTCTAACGCAAAGTTGAGAGAACAATCGTATCGTCTCATCGGTGATGTCTCACGCAATTCAACAACGCGGAGCATTAAGAACCGATACCGAAGTGAATATTAAACCTAAATCTATGTCTAGAGTTTAAAATCTAACCGATGTTCATCTTAGAACAATTTTGAACCGTATATGTCTATAGTAATCCAAACCCATTAAGATAAATATTGAAATCAAAGATAACCATTGATAAAGATTTGTAAAAGAGATTTTATACAACGATCAATAAATATACATAAAATCAAGATAAAATTACATACAAAACCCCAAAAATAAAGGATACAAATATAAGAAGGAAGATGAAGAGGAATCTCTCGATTTGTCAATGTCGATTGAAGCAGCTCCAACTCCGGATCATCAAGATATATATTATAATGTTGTTTATAAGCCTCTCTATCCAAAGGAATGTTCTGATGGAGTTGGCTGTAAAAATATCCAAAACCATAACCTAAAAAATGATGTAGAAATTTGTTTATAATATTTCAAAATTGCAAGCCCGCTTAGCCCGTGCAGAAGCCCGCTCAATGCACTCAGAAAAATAGAGAAAATCAGAATTTGTTTTCGCCATAACTTGAGAACCGTAACTCCGATTGACGCACGGTTGAAAGTGTTGGAAAACTTATTCAATACTCTATAAGACAATGAATAAATATCATTGCTTGTATACCTAAAAAAATGAGATAAAGACAATTAAACTCAATGATATTTACACAATAACGCAATATCTAATAACACTATAACATAAACTGTATAAAATATACACAAAAGTTGAGGTTTTTTGGTATAAAACTTATGAATTAAGCCGATGAGTGCTAATTATTCACTCTCAAACTCACAAAAAATTATCACTCATCAAACTCTCCCCGACTTAGACTTGTTTGTCCTCAAACAAGAATCAATCAACCTAAAGAAACAAAAGCAATTTCGGAGAAACCATGCTCAACAGTTTTTACAAATGGAAACAAATGTATGGTACAAATATCAAAAGTACACGCAAAACAATGCTTACCACTATACTACAATGACACAACAAATATGAAACAAAGTCTAAACATAAAACACATGTCAAACAATTCTAAAACAATACATGTGTTCAAGAATGAATCACACCTAACGCACAACTTTATCAAGGAATGAAAAATAAACATGAAGGGTTGAACTCACACCCAACAATCTTGCAAACACTAATTCAAATTATGCATTCATCTAAAAAACTCATATTGAAAGTATAAAAGAAAAACTTATAAGGTATTTAAAGGGTTGTAATGTGGCTTGACTAACAAAGAAATGTCAATTTCTTAAGGTCAAGGAAGCAAAAACTTGCATAATCAAATGAGAGTGATCATTTCTCAAATTCTCAAGCATTCACAAATTTCCTTTATCTTTTTCTATTTTCCCAATTGTTACACCATTTCACATGACTTATTAGCATAATTTATTTGCTATTTTTTCTTTTTCAATGCTTTTTCTTCTTTCTTTTCTTTTTCACTTTTTTTCTTTCTTTTCTTTCTCAACCGCATAACAACCAACCTTTCTTCTCCC